TGGGTAAACACTAGTTGGAGGGTGGCTGGGGTCTGCCAATGTGGGAACTAGGAATGCAGGGGTTTTGGCAGTGTCTGTGGTCTGCTGGCTGGGGGAACTGCACGCTGTGTTCTTACCACATTCAAGTGGTTGATGCCTGGGCCCTACAGCATTTTGGCAGGGCACTCACTGTGGTTATTAAATTCTTCATATTCTGGTCTGTTCTTAAGGAACCAGTAGACCAAGCAAAGGCAAGTTTTGGACGCTTCTACAGGAGGAAAATGATTCTAGCCCCATGTGAAACAGGATGGGGCAGCTACAGTCCTCTGAAAGGGAATTAGGATTTTAGAGCTGCAAAGGTGATCTTAGCATCTCCCAAAGTGGGCTCTGAAGCATTTCCCCCAAAACACTAGAATTAGAAGATGTTAATAGGTGTTCAATGTAGAAGCATCACAGATCCAAGAAGTTTGAGAAATCGGATTATTGCAGAGCTTCTCAGAGCGGTCAGCATACATTGGCACCTTCTAGGAAGGGAAGGAAATACACAGTATTCCTTAACATCATTTGAAGTTGGAGCCCTTCTATTTGAGAAGCACTTCACAGGATGTCTTTCTGGTTTTTAAAAAATACTAACGATAATATTTATGAATAATTTACTGCATGCCAAGTATTGTGTTATGTAGTATATATGCACTATCTCATTCATTCTCAGAAAAATTTATGAAGTGGGTACTTGTATTGCCATTTTATAAATGAGAAAACAGGCTCAGAGAGTAACATGACCAAGGTCACAAGACTAAGTAGCAACGCAGAGGTCAAACCCCTCTGTCGATTACAGAATCTGCCACGCTGTTAGACTCAGGAGGTAACTTGCCACTTCTGACGCTGTTGGTAGGAGGCCATGATGGATCTGGATTCAGGTATTTTGACTCCTTTTCCAATTACTGTTTTGTACTTTGCTGCTTCTAGGTCACGGACGCGCCAGATGGTGGGTGATGCCCATCTCCCTACACTGTACTTCCCTCCCACACACCCAGAGCTGTGGCCAAGGGACCAGCTGGAGATGAAGCAGAACCTCTGGGCCTGCCCATCACCAACATGCACATGGCCTCTCCTTCCCCCTGTGGACCTGACACGTGGACTAGTCCCTGAGCCCAACCCATCTGTCATGGGCCATGCTGTCCAGAAGCCAGCAGGCAAGAGCAAGCCCTGGACCACTCTAGGTGTGTGGTTTTCACATTTTTAAATGGTTGAAGACAAACAATAATATTTTGTGACAATTTGGTGAAAAGTATGTGAAATCCAAATGTCAGTGCCCATAAATAAAGCTCCACTGGCACACAGCCCTGCTCATTTGTTTACATGGTGTCTATGGCTGCTGTGTGTTAGGACAGCAGAGTTGAGGAGCTGCAGCAGGGGCCCTATGGCCTGCAAAGCCTAAAATATTTGCTTTTTGACCCTTCACAGAAAATGTTCGCTGACCCCTGTTTCCAATGAAAAAAATCAAAGCCCAATAATACCATCATTCACATCTGGTGATTTCCTTCTCAAGTAGCTAGTTTCATTCCTAATCAGGGATTGGCGGGAATGAAGTGGACTGTGACTAAGCCTCAGGAAAGAAGAGAATTTGCAGGCCAGGCACAGGGTGTGGGCCAGGGCTCAGGAGGCCTGGATTCCTGTCCTGGCACAGCCCTCTACGCTGCAGGCACCCGAGGAAGTTGCTTCTACTGGGGTTGTGAACTAGCATGCTCTGATATGATATGCAAGCAATAAATACATATTACACATTTACTATGTGCCTTCTCAGGCACTGCTTAAGCGTATCTATATTTATCTATCCATCTATCTATCTCACATACATACACACAGATTTATATACACACTTGTGTATATATACAATATATAAATCTTTCTGCTAGTGATAAGTGCTATAAATAAAAATAAAGCATGCTAAAGAGGTGGTGATGGTAAGGTGTTTCTTTATAAGGGTGCCAGGAAGGCTCTCTCAGGTGAAATGAGCAGAGACCTGTATCAGGCAGTGAGGAAAGAACGCATTCCAGGTAGCAGAAACAGCTGGTGCGAAGGCCGTGAGATGGAAGTGTCCTGTGTGCTTAAGCAATAAGGTCAAGATGGCTTGGAGGCAGAGCCTGGGGGGGTACTGGGTAGGAAATGGATCTGGGAGGCCACGGAGTGGGGAGGGTCTGGAGAATATCTTAGGCATAATAGGAGCCTACAGTGTCCTGTGCCACAGCATGATCTGTTCTGATGATTTAAAATGAAATCTGTTAGTTAGAGACTGGATTGAGGGGTGGAGCTCAATGCCTCAGGAACTCTTTTGGATTCTCAGGGTGAGATATCACGAGGTAAAGACTCCCTGGGAGGCCAGCAGACCCTGCAGCTCTCCAAGTTGAAAGGCTCGAAGAGGGTGAGGGCGCCATGCCCACCATGCCTCAGAACAATGGGTGGTGAGCAGTCTGTCTGGGGGCACTGCAGGCTGAGGGGCTGTGGCATGGCCTGCAGGCTTAGGTCAGGCAACAGGGTGGACTGAGTGTGGCCCTTTAGACCTCGTCTCTTCCCGAAGTCTCCCCGAGGGTCCTTGGGTTGCAATGGAGCCTTCTCCATGCTCCACAGCCCCTGGAGCTTCCCTCTCTGTTATCCCTGGCATGATATGAGGATGTACCCGTCTTCTGACTCCCCTTCCGTGGGCCACGAGCTCCTTGCTGGCAAGGCCTGTCTGACTCAGAAGCACTGAGTAGGTGGCTGGGAGTGGGTATTAAGCCAATAACTAAGGCAGAGGCTGGAGCTGGAAGGACAGCCAGCAGCGGCTTAGGAGAGGATCAGTGAGGGCCCAGATGTCTAGCTTCTTCCACTGGCACGGACACTGGCCTGGTTCTGTATTCCAGATCCTTCCCTCCAGGGTCTGGGTGATGCACTCAGACCCTATATTACAGTGATACATCCCACATTCCTCACCATTCATCTTTGAACCTTGCCCTAACTCCGTAGGACGCAGGGAAAGGAGATGCTCACTGAAGGGGTGCCCGCCAAGCATTTTGCAGGAAAAACCTTTAGTCCTGAGAAGTGGGTATTTACTACTTTGTAAATGAGAAAATAAAGTCAGAAAGGTGATCTGCCTCAAAGACCCAGTAAAGAGCAGAGCCAGTTGTGTTCTTTTAACCCTCCTAGGCACAGGTTATGCCCCCAGCAGTTGCTGGATCCATCAGTGTCTGGGTCAAGAGTCTAAAGCATCTACTGTCCATTCTCCCCTTATCCGTTATTAACCCGTAGTACAATGGCATACACCTAGCCTATAACAACTTGTGACCACTTTACATCCACTCAATTGACTATAATAAAAAAGACAATATAGCAAAAATGTGGGGCAACAGGAACCCTAGTGCATTGCTGGTGGGGATGGACAATGGTGCAGACACTTGGGAAAAGCCTGGCAGGTCCCAAAAAAACTAAACAGTGACTATATGACCCAGTAATTCCACCGCTTGGTATATACCCAAGGAAATTAAAAACATGGAGGGACTAGGAAGTGACTGCTAGTGGGCATGGGTTTTTTTGTTTTTTTTTTTTTTGAGATGTTCTGGAATTAGCTAGTGTAATGGCTGCCCAACTCTGTACATGTACTAAAAACCACTGAATTGTACTCTCTAAAAGATGAATTCTCTCAGTAAATCTGTTAATAAGAAAACAAATTTGTGGGCTGTCCTTCAAGTTTCAGGTTATCGCCCAGGCTAAGGACAGAAGTATCCTTTTCTAGAAACCCCATCCCCAGCAGCCACTGGACACCAACTCTTGGGCCCGGAATGTAGTTTATTCACTCGCAGATTAGGCAAGCCAGTCTTATCTCTTCCTCTAACTCACACATTCCTAAGTCCTGACTCCATCCTCCTGCAGTTTTATTTTTCCTGGGTTCCCCAGGTTTCCCTGGGAGAGCCCCTGAATGACGGGCTCCACAGCAAACATTAACCCTCACCAGACTGGGAAGCCTCACCAAGGCTGCACGATGCCAGGAGTCGGGGCTCAGCGCTCAGCAGACTCCGGGAGAACCCCAAACCTGTCTCTGGGAAAATCAAAAAACCATTTGAGTGCCTACTATGTGCTGGGCCTAATATTAGGTTCTCGTTTAGCCTGCAACTTGTCTGAAGGTAGCTGTCATCACCCCCACTGTCGTTGAGGAAGTAGATGTTCAGCAAGGCTCAGTTACCCGTCCCGGCTGGCAAGTGGCAGGAGCTCTTCCCCCAGCCCACCTGGCACTCACCCAGCAGTCTTGACTTCCCTGGGTTTTAGTTTTCTTATGCATAGAGGAGCACACATCACACCTACTATGCAGTACGATGGTCATAAAAACATCTGGCTTTTCATAGGTTCCAGTCCCTGGTTCTCATGGAATGTGGCTTTTGTTGGCCCAGGCAGAAAGGGAGATGGGCTATGTGTTCTTTTTCCCATTCCCAACCCAACCAGGATGGCATGGCTTGATTAGACCCCTTTGATTTTTGGACATGGATGCTACCAACGTCAGGGTACTGAGCTGACCTCTGACCTTTGATGGAACTGACTTCTCTGCTAAGCTTTTCCAAAACTTGATCCTTACACCCTTGTTGCTGTGGTATGGAGGCCCACCCATTTTAGCTCTTTGTTAAAACTCTCTCAAAGGTAGAACTTGCAGAACCACAGGGCTAGGGGTTGAGCGGGCTTCTGAGATGTCTGGAGGAGGGGCCCACAATGTTTACTTAGGCCCTGGACCCCCTGGAAGGGCAGACCAGGTTTGGCTTGGATCCAGGATCCCCCAGTCGCAGCTACACGATTTTAGACAGCTTCCTGCACTTCTAAGTGCTGGTTTCCAGGTGTAGAATGGGAAGGCCAGTCAAAAGCCACCAGGCAGCTTCCTCAAGCACGGGGCGGCCAAGGATCCTTCTCTCCCGCCACCCACCAACTGGGATGGGGGGCTGCAGCATGGGCTGGCCTCGCCACCCTCCCGAACAGGGGCAACAAACCACAAAACACTCTTTTTCAAATCACATATGGCTTCTTTGACCCCATCAAATAACTTTATTCACACAAACGTCCCTTAATTTACAAAGCCTCAGTCATTCATACACATTAGGGGATCCACAGTGTTCAAGGAACTTAAATATAATGTATCATACCAACCCAAGTAAACCAAGTACAAAAAATATTCATATAAAGTTGTTCACACGTAGGTCCTAGATTACCAGCTTCTGTGCAAAAAAAGGAAATGAAGAAAAATAGATTTATTAACTAGTATTTGAAACTAACTTTGTGCCTGGCTTAAAACCTTCCTCACACTCGTCTGTCCCACACAAATATTTAAGAAGTCATTGAAATGTACTCCCCGGCTCTGATGAAGAGGCCCCTGGCACAAAAGATTCCAGTGCCCCTGAAGAGGCTCCCTTCCTCCTGTGGGCTCTCCTGAAAAAACACCAGGACGGCCTCCCTGCTGATACTGTCTGTAATCTTAGGGGGCCCTTGGGCAGGCAACGGCAACGGACTCATCTCTTGACGGCTGTAGATGCTAACACTGGCCAATTCAATGTCACACCTACCAGTTACCCTTTGAGGGCATTTCTCCAGACAGAAGCCCCTCGAAGCCTAGGTAGGGCAGGATCAGAGATGCACCTGTGTTGTCTCGAAGGCTGTGCCACAGCCCAGTAGGACAGCTTGGCAGAGCCAGTATCTCTGGATTTCTGCCTCCAAAACCCAGTGGCCTGAAGAGCTAAAAAATGTCAGTTTGGCTCTTCCAAGTTTGCCAGGGCCGAGACTCCCAGGAGCTATGTCTGTCTGGGGGCTGCCAGACAGGCCTAGGAGGGAAAACCAGTCAACGGGAGGGATAGTCTGAGACCCACCAAGAGTAAGTGCCACCAGCGCCCCCACATGTGGGGGGAAGAGGGGCACACGGGCAGGATGGCGAGTGGGAGCAGCACTTGGTGGGCAGGGCTGGAAGGAGCCATATGGAACCAGGCAAGGGCAGAAAGTTAGGGTCCCTCCTTAGGGGGTGGCAGCCTGACTCCTGCTTTTCTAAGTTTCCAAAAGATACCCCAAGGCTAAAACCCAGACGTCCATCCTATTAAGATGTCTTCTAAGAAGGTAAACAGCTAACAGCATAAAAAGAAAATTCCCACAATGCCAGCTCTTTTCCTTCTCTTAGAAAAAGATTCAAGCAAAAATAATCATCTTATTGCTCCAAACACTGGTTTTCTAGGCTAGGAGACAACTGATATGTTAAGGAGCTGAGATCTTGGAGGAAGGGAATGTGGAGGTGGGGAATGTGGAGCGCAAGGAGGCCGTGTGAGGAAGGCGGGGAGTGGTCCTAGCACCACAGGGTCGGGAGCAGAGGGAGCGGAGGGCGTTCGCCCCTGCCCGGGGCACCTCTGCCCTCATTCACTTGGGGGCCCCCCTGGCAGTGCCACTAAGGAGGCCAGGCCCTGTCCAGAGTCAAATCTCCACCCAGTGTTGGGTGTTTCTCCTCTGACTGTAAACAGGGTGTTTCTTAAGTAAACATTTAATATACTCCCTCAGAAAGGCAGCCACAGGGGCAAACTATGTCCAGGTGGGAGGAAAAAAATTCCCATTCTCCTGACCCAATGCCTCTGGGGTGAGACGAGGCTAAGGCCTGCAACCTTAGTCCCCAGTGCCCAGAGAGGGTTCAGACGGGGCCAGTCTCGAATGAACAGACTGAGGCATCCTCCTGGCTAGAGGTAAGAGGCAGAGTGTGCACCTGTCCAAAGCACAGTTTTTCTGTCCTGGGCTATAGCTGCAAGTGAGTGCCCTGGTGGTGGTGGGGAGATGCGGGCCTGGCTACGGCCCTCAGGAAGAGGGTGTGTGGGGTGAGAGGGTGATTCCTCCCCCGTGGCTCTCTGGGAATGAGAGAGACAGTGAAAGAGCAAGTGACAGAGGACACAGATAGGGAGAAAGAAGCCACGCATTTTCAGCTGAGCCAGGAGGCCTGGTCAGGGGAGGACAATGGAATAAGGCACTACAATCTGTCCTGCTGATTCTTCTGATGGGAAAACCAAGTTGAGATCCCTAACAGCCGAGGTCAAGAGCCCCCCTCCAATGGGCTATCCTTGCCACAGACCCAAGGAGAATGAATGACTGCCGTTTTGAGGTTTGAAAACTCCTAGAACTTGGACAGGTCCTACAAACTTGCCGGTGCTGAGCTGACGCACCAGAGAGCTGCTGACAGCCTGAGACCCAGTGAAGACGCAGGAGTGGGGACGTGACAGCAAGTGGAAGCCGATTCACAAGGGGACAGGGGAGAGTGGCACTGAGAAGATTACAGGTGCTACCTGGGGCTGAGCCATGGCCAGTTCTCTCACCATGGAGGAGTCGGCTGAGTGCCTGAGGTGGGCAAGTGTTTGAGAAAGCAGGGGAGAGATGAGGAGGAGGGGCAGGCACTTGGGGCTAAAAAGCTGGCCTGCATTTACGCTACGGAATGAAGTCATGCCACTAAGCAAGAACTGGAAGATGAGGGGGCATGAAGGCTGGTGACCCCTACCAGGCTGCCCACCTGACACCTACAGGGGTGCTGTTTCTTGCTATTCTGATAGCAAGAAAAATAACAAAGGGGAAGCACGATGGCTCCAAAAACTTACTATTTAGTTAGAGCTACGGGACCTGGGGAGGGAAGAAAAAATAAGGGGCTCATTAGGCTGGAGCCTCACTAGGGATGTTACGGCGTGGGCTGCAGCCAGGGACGGGGGTGCTGGGTTTGGGGACTGTTTTTCCCATTTGCTCATGTACAAAGAGACAGCTGCCCCCAAGAGAAGGCAGGGTGGCGGGCAGAGAAGGAACGTGCACTGCAATTAGGGGACGCTGCTGTTCCCATCCTCTCGGCTACAACTCAGCGCACTCAGGAGGCTGCCTGAGAAGTCAGAGACAGGAGAGACAGGCAGTCACAATGGGTTTTGGCCCAGGAAGGGAAGGGCCTGGTTATCACCTGTGGGATCCTGCTAATAGCAGTCAACCTTCCGCTCACAAGGAAGAAAGCTTGGTGTTAAGGGGGTGAGAGAAGGCTGAAAGAATGTGAGCAAACGTTGCTGAACCTGGCCCGATGCACTGTTCGCTCCCCAATTCTCAGGGCCAAAGGATTGCTGTTTAGCAGGTAAAAGCCCCTGCCTTGGTCACATAGAAACGGAAATGCCCTTCAACCATCTCCCCTATCAATCCTATGCTGGTTTAGGTGAAACAAAAAACAAAAACGAAAACAAAAGGATTCCCTTCCCCCTCCCCAGAGGCCCTATACTATGTGGCCATAATGGGGTGAAAAGCCTTCGGAGTGGCCAGGCAAATCCAGACAGGGAAAACACAGGAGCATTGCCCCTTCTTGCAGGGGGAGAGCAGATGGGTTCAGAGCAGCAGCCCAAGGGGAGGGAGGTTTCCCCTAAGGAGATGCAAGTGTCGCTGCAGAGTGCAAGGATGGCTGCAGCAGACAGGCATGGGTGGCGGGGCTGAAGCATCACGGCTGGGGAAGCCTGAAGGTGGGGAGCCCACAAATGGGCCCCTAACGCTGCAGGGGGTCTACCCAGTCCCACGACACCTCCCTGCTCTGGGCAGGTCTGCTGTTTTCCCATTGGATACGTCTATACTGAGGGCAGGCACCTAATAGTAAGTCTCCAGGGGTGAGGGAAATGGCGCTTGACATTATGTGTCACTGCATATGACCCCACGGACCCTGGCACACAGGGCATGCCCTTCACTGTGAGGACACGACAATGGCAGCCAGTTCAGGACACCCTGTTATCATGGCAAAGTCACAGCCAGATCTGAGGGCCTCAGGCTGTCTCTGTGACACACGGACACTACGGGACACATGTGGGAAGATGACAATCCAGGAGGCAGTTAGGTGAGAAGTGCTGACCTCATGGCAGTGACAGATGCCTGCTGAAGACCCAGCTGTGTTCCACACAGTTTGGCACAACAGTTTTTCCCAACAGAAAGGCAGGCTTACAGCGCTGGGATGGCTGCTCTACCGCCAGCAAGTGCGAGATGGTCACCCTCCACCCCTACCTCCCCGTTCCCTGCAACACAGGGCGGAAGAGGAAGGGATCCCACCACTGTAAGTCCTGGTGTGGCCTGGGGCTCCCAATAGCTTAAACAGAACAAAGCCTGGACTTGAGACCTTCTTAGTTCTCCTGGCCAAACCCTGGCCTTCCTCTTCCAGGTGGTTCTTCGCCTCTGATCATCTCCGAGGCCCAAGGGCTGGCCAGGGCCAGCCCACCAAGGAGTCCGGGAGTTCCTGCATCTGGCAGGGAGGCGTGGCCCAGAGGCCTCCTTGTGTCCTCATGCCCCATTCCAGGAGAAACCCCCAGGTTCCCTATGGGGAGGCAGGCCTTCTCTGGGGAAGTGAGGTGTCATAAGTAGAACTGAGAGAAGGATAAAGAAGGAAGACAGAGGGAAAGTGAAGGACAAAACCAAAAATAGCTCCCTAACCCCTTATAAAAAGTACAACTGAAATTTATACATATGCCTTGTCCACACTGAATTTCTTTAAAGAAATTGGTGCCTGTCCACAGCATTGCTTCCTGCTCTTCTGAAGTCTCATGGTTTAAATTAAAAAAGAAAAAGGAAAGAGGAAAAAGAAAAAAAGAAAGCAAAACAAAAGAAGCGGGAAAACCCAAACAAAAGCTTCACATTGCCGGAGATCCAGCTGTCGGGAGATCGCCAACCGGCCAAGCCACCACCTGTACCCTCTGCCGTCCTCTGTAGGAGACGTGGTGAGACTGTGGGTCCCAAGGAATCGACCTGGAAGACAGAAAGTGGGTAAGGAGGGGACATTGGTCAGCAGGCCTGGGCACCAGCTCCCAACCCAGAGGAACACTGAAGTTGTGTGTGCTGGGCTCATGTGGGGCAGAGCTCTAAATAGATAGGGTAAGTCTAGCTTCACAACCTCCCTGGTCTAGACACACAGGCTTATTTTTCAGATAGGGAAACTGAGGCTCAGGTTAAGTAATTTATCGAAGATCACACTGCCTAAGGGGCAGACGCTAGCTGGGAACCCAAGCCTGCTGGCTCTACCTGTCAAACCAATCGTGAATCCTGGCTTCCCCGTACTATTAGGAGCAAGACACCGCAGGGCCCACCACCCTGGACAGTCTGTCTCCACAGACCCTGCTAGCATTGCTTCCACCCATGCTTTCTTCCCCATTCTTTGTGACTAATTGTGCTTGGTTATAAATGCCACAGCAACCCTCTCTAGGTTCAGTAATCCTGTTTTACAGAAGAGAAGAGTGACGCTCAGGCCTCTGAGAATCCAAACCAGGCTACCTGCTAAGGTCATAAGAAGGGCCAGAATCCCACACCCAGGGGCAGGGCTGGACCAGGCTGCACTGTCTGCTGCAGTGCACTGTGGGGGTTAGGAAGGAGGGCTCTGGAGCCAGAACGGGTGACTGAGCAAACAGGAGCTTCCACTTGACTGTGGGGAATTTAAGTCCTCTGTTCCCTGGTCTCACATCTGTAACTGCGTCACAGGCTATTATGAAGATTAAACAAACGTAAAACCAAGAAGAGTGCCTGATCCTATTAGTATTGGCTATTATTTGGAAACTGCCTTAGTGCCAGGCCTCAGGTATAAGACAGGAAGTCTGCCCTTCAGTGGCTTATTCTACTGGAGGCCGAGAATACAAGGGCCCACAGAGATTAGTCTTGGGCAGTCCCCGCTCTGAGCTATTGGATCAGTGCTAAGTATAGCACTGTCCTGGGCAGGGCGGGCCATCTAGGGCAACAGTGCTCCAGCCTGGTTGTACATGGAATCATCTAGGAGGTTTTTTGAGACAGGGTCTTGCTCTGTCACCCAGGTTGGAGTGCAGTGCCTTGATCACAGCTCACTGCAGCCTTGAACTCCTGTGGCTCAAGCAATCCTTCCACCTTAGCCTCCTGAGTAGCTGTGACTACAGGGCACATGCCACCACACCAGGCTAATTTTTGTATTTTTAGTAGAGACGAGGTTTTGCCATATTGTCCAGGCTGGTCTTGAACTCCTGGGCTCAAGTGATCCACCTACCTTGGCCCACCTAGGAGTTTTTAAAGTGCCTGTTTTCAGCCTGAATGACCAAAGCAGACAAGTCTTTGTGCGTGCAATCCCCCAGTGGCTTCCTTTGTGAGGCAGAGCCAGCACCGTGGCTGCCATGACTTGCCACCTGCGCAGTCTGACAACACCAGCTCGTTGTCCTCAGCTCCTGGGAAGGGACCTGGCTAGTCCTCCCAAGAGGCAGCAGGATAGGACAATATTGGATAATTTACTGCCTGTTGGCCTCAGTTTCTTCCTCTGACCACTGGGCGTTCTTGGTTGAGGTCTGAGTGGAATGACTCAGGTTCCTGGCCCATAGCAGGTACGAACATACTTAATGAGTCCACCCCTTCCTAGCCAATCGTCCCCAACCAGAGACTATAAACGTGTTAAATCTGAACAGGCCATGATTTTCAGCCATGCAACCACTAAAAGTGTTTCCTGCTGGTGAGGGTGCCCCTCACACTGCTGGAGGAGGGGAAAAAGCTTCTGGAAGGTAGTCTGGCACTGTTTTTAGGGCTTCAAAGGTGTTTAGACTGGTGGCTCCCTGAAATTCCACTCCTGAAAGCCAAGCTTAACAGATAAACCTAAATATGAAAAAAACTTTATGGATAAAGAAGTTAATGGAAATATTTAAATTACAAGGCAATAACTCACAAGTCCAAAAATAAGGATTAAGTAAGCAAATGATCCTTCAACTCACTGATATACTACAGAGGAAATGAGATCATTGCGTGACATTTTGAAGATTATGACAAAAGCACTTCCCTGGGGTAGGTGGAAAAGAGTAGGTTACAAAGTTGTGTAGCACACAGCATGACCATAACTATGTAAAAACACAAACCCCCCAGTGTAGGAAAATCTGACAAGAAATACACTAAAATGTTGTGCTTGTTGTGACTGGATTTTCCTCTTCCCCTACTTCTGATTTTTAATACTGAACACACACCAATGTCACATTTCACTTTTTAATAGGAAAAATAGGGTACTTCAAAGAACACGAAAAGCCGGCAGCTCCAATAGAAAGGTCCAGATGTGGGGTCTCGTCTGGACTCTTCCATGCCCAGTGGACAAAGGAGAGCTTCCACATTGCCAAACGGGAGGTTAGACTGTGTGACTCCCTGCTCTACCAGCCCAAGGAGCGGGTGACCCAGAAAGTGGGTGTGGCTGATCTGAGAAGAAAATACAGGATTTCTCCGGCCCAGTCTTTCACTCTGCTGCTTCTATTCCTTGGTCTGTTAATTCCCCTAAAAAAAAATCCACTAGTGGGTCTTGTATCCCAGTTTTTGACTTGGAAAAAGAAAATCATCATAAACATATTCCCTGATGATTCAGCAGCCATCTCAAACTCTAGCTCTATTTAGCATGCCTATTGCTTTCTCTCTGTGCTTTCCATAGACACAGCAGATCAACCTGAAGATGGGGGAAGAGGGTATATAGGGTAGGCCCTTACCATCTGAAACATTAAGACCTTGTGAAATACGACGAGAAATTATACAGCCACATGTGATGTGCTAAAATAATCTTTGGGACCAGTTATGACTTTCCGGCATTCCTTTCCTCCCTCCCTGCGGACGATCTCCTGAAAAGGATGCCCATCAGCAGGAAGGTAGCACGTGGCAGCTAAAAAGCAGTGTTGGCAAGGAGGCAGGTTCAGAAACCAGACGCTCCTTTTTACATAATAAACTAGCAGAACACAGTGTGACTGCAGAAGGTCAGACCAACAGCACAGCACTCTGCAAGAACTCCTCAGACACCAGCTTGTAATGACCACTGTAATCACTGGGTCCCACGCCAGGAAGTGAAGCTGACATTTCCCAAAGGCTCCTCCCTGCTCCCTCTAGCCCTGGCACTGGCTCTGGTCCTCCTGTTGGAAGCCTCAGAACAACCTACAGGTCTGAGTCTGGTTCGCTCTTGTGGGCACAAAGAAGGAAAAGAAGAGGGCTCTCCACTGGGGAAAGGATCTTGGCTTGGGGTTCTTTTCCCGTCGGCCACCACAGAAAGAGCACTTTTCCCAGGGAGCTAACAGCACAGTAAGCTCACCGAAGGTAATGGAGGCGCTCTCTGTAGCTATGAACAGGAATGGCTCAGACCACACGGTTCTAAGTTTAAGCAGCAGACCCTCCCAGGTACCTGTGGGCACAATAAAGGGTGTAGGTCTCAGTCCCAGTGGACCCTTGGAGAGGCCTTAGACTTGTGGTGCTTCATCCTAGCAGATGCCACATCTCAGCTCCCTCACCGCTCAGGCTGTGCCTGACTGCCAGGCTACCAGCTTCCACCGGGGCTCTTATCCCTCTCTGTGGAACCCCTACCTCGGACCAGAACCCGCTCCTTGAGGGCAAAAGTCACACCTGCTAAGCATAATGAAAAGCGGTGATGTGATAAACCTGCAACTGACATCTGTAGTGCCCTTCCATGATTACTGTGAGGAGGGATTTGGCCAGTTTTCACAAGAAAACAGGCCCAGAGAGATGGAGCAACTTGCCCCACACCAGAGTTGCTGAGCAGTAGAACCAGCACTTAATCCAAAGTTTTTCAGCTTCACTACCCAAAGTTTCTGCACTATGACAGTCTTCAATCAGTGCTTCCAAAGCCGGCTCAGCAATGGTTCCAACAGCTTGCATCTGAGATGATCCTGGGGGTGGAAGGTGCCAATGATCTGGGAAAACGTGCTATGAATCCTTACCTTTCTCATTTCAGCTCTTGGACCAAGTTCTCTCAGGGCATCCCACCTTCTTATTTCTAACTGGCATAACAGCAATCACTTACTGAGCAGTCTGTATGTGCAAGTTCTAACTACATTATAGGGAACAACCTCGTAAAGTCACACTGCTTTCCAATCACTGTTAAAGGATCGAGTGTTTTATCCATTGCCTCATTTCACCCCGGCAACCCTAAGAGGTAGGGGTTATTGTCCCCCTAGTCTTAGAGATGAGAAAACTGAAGCTCAAGAGAGAACAGCCTCATAGCCAGTAAGCGGTAGAGAAAAGGGTTTAACTCAGGGCAGTCTCACTCCAAAGCCCCTGCTTTTCACATGTAACGATGTAAAATCCCTTCCTAGAGAATACAAGAAGAGCTTAAGTGGAGTTTAAAACCCATCTAATCCCTTCATTTATAAATAGACTCACTCAGAAAAAGGCTCATGGAAGGCTTACGTGCCGGTACACAGGTCTAGTGCTCGGGGGACAAAGGGGGACATGGTGCCAATGAGGCAGTGAACAGTCTTCCAGCAAGCTCCTCTGCCAGTCAGGCAGGTGTCTGGTCTGTTTAAGGAGACTGAGAAACTACTCTCACGAAGGCCATTAGCAGCTTGGAGAGCAGAAGCCTGGGAGATCTGAGGGGAACATGCACAGGAGGATGGGGCTGGTGACAAGGATGGCTCATGTGTTCACCTCCTTCCCCTACTCCTCAGCCTGCAGGCACAGAATACCTTGGCGATTATCCCTTACTCTAAAAGGATGGCCTTCCTACTTTATTAGTGTCAAAATGTCATTACCTTTTGCTTTCTTTTCTAAGACACAGGGTCTCACTCTTTCATCCAAGTTGGAGTACAGTGGCGCAACCATAGCTCACTGCAGCATTAAATTCCTGGGCTCAGGCAACCCTCCTGCCTCAGCCTCCTGAGCAGCTGGGATTACAGGCACATGCCACTACACCTGGCTAGATTTAATTTTTATTTTTGTAGAGGCAGGGTCTCACTACGTGACCCAGGCTGGTCTCAAACTCCTGGCTTCGT